TTTTTTTAAAAAACTACTTTAATTTTGATGAAGGGGCAAAATTAGAAATTACTTATCAAATATTTGACTCATATGATTGCTCCTTTGTTAGCATGTTACATTCTAATTTCCTAGGGATTAATGGATTCCTTGCAGTTATTTTTTCTCATTAGCATACCTGTTACAGTAAGCATGAGCACAAAATCACAACCTATAGTAGTTATTATTATTTTTGACAAAATAATAATGTTTAACTCTAGAAGTCGATAGAAATAGAACTCTAAACGTTATGGCACCTACTCACCTTTACAACTTCGGCCATTCTTGTGCTATAGTTTATTTGAAAGCCTACAGTTGAAAATTCGGACTTAGGTTATGATTAATTAGGGAGGCTTCTTTGCAGAACCCAGGTCTAACAGGAGTTGATGGTGTCAACAGAGATTGCAATGGTGTGTTTGTTGCGGCGTCTGCAGCCTAGGACGGGCATCTTCAAGGCGTGACCTCTTGCTCCGATCTCCCCTACACCTAGGATGTTGTCTGCACCATGAGCCAGTATCGAACATGATTCCAACTGCAGCTGGGCCGAGTTTCCATAAGCATTTAAAAAATTTTAGTTCTTTCAAAACATTAGGCAAATGTTTACCACTGATAAGGCTTTAACGATGAAAATGATCAATTGAAAGGTTTTTCAATTTCATAACACTCTTTTTCGACTGTATTTTAGAGGTGCACCAACCTTAGATAAATTTTCCTCTTTAAATATTGCCCTCACTATTTCATATGTTACACTCACAACCCACTTTTTTTGGATATTTTGATTTTATTTTTTTATTTATAAAATTAATCTCAAATTTTGAATGTCTATGCTTCTCACCAATCCACACTTATAGAAAATATAAAATTAATAACTCTAAATAAATAAAAAACTAAAATAACTAAAATGCCCCTACAGTTTGTACATATATTTAGGTCATTTTATCTTAGTTCAATTATTTTTTAAAGATGCTTTATGGTAATAAAAAACACAAAAATTTGATCTCAATATGTTATATAGAAAAAAAGACGAAACTGAAATACTAGACGCGCTCCTAAAAAGGCAGGACATAAACAAAAATATGGAATATTAGAGCTAATTTTAAATTTCTAAAGAAAGTAATGTAAGTTTCCCTTAATATTGTTACCATGCGTACATAGAAAATACTTACAAATACTTACGAGTGAATTTCTACAGCATTTTGCTCATGGCTTATCACTATCCAAAGTCTATCTTGGTCAAGGTTATCTAATAATATTTGAAATTTAAGAATTTTTCTACAAATCATCTTCATTTGAATTTTGGAGCATGTGAACATCAATCCAACTCACATATAAATGAAGTATTTCTAAAAAAAATAAAAAATATTTAAAATACTCATGAAAATTTTATATGGAAAATTTGGTCATTTTTATTCTTTTGTATTTTATTTAGGAACGACCGACTAAGGGGCACACACCAAAAACATTTAGGTTAACGTAATTTGTAGATAATTTATTAAGATTTAAACATTGTCAAACAATTTTTGATAGACTTTTATATCCATCACCTCTAGCAAAATAATCAACCAAAACAATTGCATGGCATCAAAGATAAGAAATATAAAGGATCATAAAATAAATTACAAAATTTATGAATCCACAACATTAAAATACCATAAAAACCAATGAAAATATCTATGTAACCATAAGAAGAAGCCAATAAATCTACTAATTCCTAAATACTAACAATAAATAGATTGAATTCAAATAAATAGATGAGCTATGAGTGGCTAATTAAAAGAAGAAACAAATAAGCAAAATAAAGAAGCTTATAAATCCACTAACATGACCCCTGAACGAGCCAAGCTTAATCAACTTGGGGAAGTCCTGAGTCCCAAAACTGATTTTCATATTGAGGTTACATAGTTTTTACATCTTACACCAAGCACTCACCATAACTTCGTAAGAGTTTGAACCAGCAACATGAGGGGTAAAGATAAGGATTAATCTTCTCTGAGCTTAATACAAAAAAAAAAAAAAAACAAATCAAAATTGAACAACTGGGAAAGAAAAAAAAATCAACTATAAATGCTCTTTGTAGATTTATGATTAATCTTTTCTGAGCTTAATCAGAAAAAAAATAGACAAATCAAAAATAAAATATTTTTTTGTAGATTTGGGGTTATGGGAGTAACCCTAAAAAAAAATAAAAGAAACTCAATGTATTCGTAGCTTCAACACAATAACGGGGAAGATAAAGGCAAGAAATCAACACCTGATGAAGGCAAGAAACCCTCGAATGATGAGAATGATCTTCAATGAGAGGCACAGAGAAAGAGGGACGTAGGGTGACGTTGGAGAGGCAAGAGAGGGAAAACAAAGTAAGAAGGATGATGTGAGTGCGTGAATTGATGGAAAATATATATATATATATTTATATATTCTTGCGGTGTGTGATCCACGCTCCTGAAGCTTC